TGATTGGATTTGGCGGCAAAGAGGGTGTCGATTTTGTAACTTGAATCATGGAATCAAATCAAAGCTTGATTGTGATTCTCTTTTGTGTTTGAGCCCTCTTTGTGTTTATTGTTGTGGATTTCTTTGGTTTTGCTCGTTTCAATGAATTGATGAATTACTCATGTTATTTTTTTTTTAAAAATTTTAGCTGTTAGAAGTTAGTCGGCAAGCCTTGATGGGAGAGGAATTAACGAAAAACCATGGCTTTGTCTTGGGGAGCAAATCGAATGAGGAGGAGGAGGAGGAGGTTGAGAAGGCAATGAGGCAGATGTAGATGTGTGGGCTTAGATTAGGGATGGGGAGGATGGTGCAGATTCACTCGAGCCCGTCCGATCAGAATATGCACAGTTCTTGGGGCTCTGCTGTTGATGATGATGATGAGAAGGAGAAAAAAAAATTTCGATCGAATCTTGTAGATTTCTCAGGGGATGATGACAAGGAGGAGAGCAAAAGACGAGTTCTTTTTCCCTTTTTAATTCAACTTCGGATCATTCTATGTGCAAATTCACGTCGTTTGCGAATCTACAAATGGAATCTCTTCCAATGTGGTTATTAGTATAGTTGGTTTTGTGCAAATTTGTCGTTTGGACGGTTAACAAAGTTCATCGGTTTGTAAAATTTGATAAGGAAATGGAAGTCAACTTGTTTAATTTTTCTATAAAATTCTGTTTGTCCTTCATGTGACAAGCCATCTTAGAATTGCTCCAGGTGTCCTTTTATGAGAAAATCTTGGGCTCTTAAACAATACATATCAGGACAAATGCCATCATTAACTACAAATATCACATATTAATATCCAGGTGTCCTTTATGTGATATTTGTAGTTAATATATGATATTTGTTATGTTATTCAAGTTTTTGATATTTATATGATTTATTACACTTGTTTATGTAACATAAGATAGTTTCATGTGACATATAACAGATTCATGTCACATTTGTTGTTTTATGCGACATTTGTTGTTTATACGTGACGATTGTGTATTGTATGTGATATTTGGGTGTTGCTTGTGACATTTGTTATTTATACGTGACATTTGGGTGTTTTATGTGATATCTGGGTGTTGCTTGTGACATTTGTTGTTTATACGTGATATTTGGGTATTGTATGTGATATTTGACTGTAATTTATTGATAGTGAATGTGCTTATTTGTCACATGACTGTAATTTGTTTATACGTGACACATGGCTGTAATTTGTTGTATGTGATATTTAGATCTAATAGAGTCATTCCACATGTGCTTATTTGTCACATGATATGCTCATTTGTCACATGCGGAATGACTCTATTAGATGTGACTTATATCACATACAACTCATATATCATTGAAATATCACATGATATGCTTATTTGTCACATGTGGAATGACTCTATTAGATGTGACTTATATCTCTCGTATGTGATATTTGGGTGTTGCTTGTGACATTTGTTATTTGTACGTGACATTTGTGTGTTGTATGTGATATTTGGCTGTAATTTGTTGATAGTGAATGTGTCACGTATAAACAACAAATGTCACAAGCAACACCCAAATATCACATACAACACCCAAATATCACAAATCAGATTTAATTATCACATATAAGGTAAAACTGTCACATGTAAGATTGAATTGTCACATATAACATTGAAATATCACATGATATGCTTATTTGTCATATTTACGGTTAATTATGATACATATATGTTCTCTCATTTTCCCATTTAACCTTGAATAACTAAGAAATATAACAACACTCCCAAATTGAACTCTAATTGGATCAAAATCATCCTTACAAAGGATTTCAACTCATCAAATAAAAATACATCAGGAAGTTACAATCCCAACCCACCAGTCCATTTCCTTATCAAATTTTACAAAGCGATGAACTTTGTTAACCGTCCAAACGACAAATTTGCATAAAACCAACTATACTAATAACCACATTGGAAGAGATTCCATTTGTAGATTCGCAAACGACGTGAATTTGCACATAGAATGATACGAAGTTGAATTAAAAAGGGAAAAAAGAACTCGTCTTTTGCTCTCCTCCTCGTCATCATCCCCTGAGAAATCTACAAGATTCGATCGAAAATATTTTTTGTTCTCCTTCTCATCATCATCATCAACAGCAGAGCCCCAAGAACTGTGCATATTCTGATCGGACGGGCTCGAGTGAATCTGCACCATCCTCCCCATCCCTAATCTAAGCCCACACATCTACATCTGCCTCATTGCCTTCTCAACCTCCTTCTCCTCCTCCTCATTCGATTTGCTCCCCAAGACAAAGCCATGATTTTTCGTTAATTCCTCTCCCATCAAGGCTTGCCGACTAACTTCTAACACCTAAAATTAAAAAAAAAAATTAACATGAGTAATTCATCAATTCATTGAAACGAGCAAAACCAAAGAAATCCACAACAATAAACACAAAGGGGGCTCAAACACAAAAGAGAATCACAATCAAGCTTTGATTTGATTCCATGATTCAAGTTACAAAATCGACACCCTCTTTGCCGCCAAATCCAATCAAAAGCCCCAAATCCTCAATTTCAGTTACATCTACATCTCAATTTCAGTTACATCCAAAATTAGGGTTTACAGACCCATATAAATTTGAAGAAAATAAAAACCAAAGCAAAAAAAGGGAAATTACTTGATGGAGGAGATGGGCTTGCTCAGATTGGGTGATGAAGTTGGGGATGTAGAATGTTGTAGGTAGAGATCCCATAGTGTAGCTCTTCATCTTCATCCATGCTCGACGTTTGATTGAGGAGGGGGAGAGGGAGGGGATGAGGTTGGAGGAGGAGTGGGGCCGGTGGTCGGCCGTGGAGGAGAGGGGGGCGATGGAGGAGAGGGGATGAGGCCGGAGGAGGAGTGGGGCTGGCGGTGGAGGAAGAGAAAATGTGAAAATAACCTGCATAGGAAGAGGGAATGGTAATTTAGGAATGATTTTATTAGGTAATGGGTTTGGGGGTTACTTGCACACCTTTATCAGTATAAGGGCGTTTGGGTTATGCTTTTTGGGCTTGGGGTGGGGATGAATGACCCAATTTATTTTGGTTCCCCCAAGCAATTTTCCCAAATATTATTATCATCTAACCACTCATCCATCACATATAATAAAATATTATTTTCATCTAACAACTCATCCATCACATCTAATAAAATATTATTTTTATCCAAACATCACTCAACTCATCTCTTCTCATCATTTCAAATCACCCATATCATCCAATAAAATATTATAACAATTCATCTCATCTCATTAACATTTCATTTCTTTGTTTTCATCCCAAAAAATTGTGAAAACACTTTTCTTAAGTGTGGGTCACACCACCCAATAATACAATGACAACTCATCTCATCTCATTTCATTTCTTATTTTTAAGAATGAACCAAACAAAAGAAAACAACAAACTACAGGAAATACGTTTCTTATAATTCATTTACTTATTTTTTTCGACAACCAAACAACATCAAAACTAGTTTTCTTAAAAAATCACTCACATCATCCAATAATAATGTGACAACTAACATCATTTTATCTCCATTTTTTTGATTTCCTTCTTTTTTTAGCCAACCAAACACTCCCAAAACAATTCTTCATTTTAATAGTTTTTCATTTCTTTGATTTCCCTCTTTTTTTAGTCAAACAAACAGGAAAGTGAATTGTAAAAATGTGAAAGTGGAATGATTTTAAGACTTTTGGTGTTTGTTTTATTGAAAGTAATTTTGAAAGTGAAATGTTAAAATGAGCCCACATCAGCTCTAATGCATGCTTAAGTTCCCCTAAAAAAGTGCTGAAGTCAAGTGAAAGTGAGAAAAAAGTGGAGACCACTCATAATTAATTAGTATATTTATTATTTATCTTACCTTATTTTCCCATGTTATTCGGTGGAAACAACCACCTCCCCCAAAATTTCTTACCTGCTAATTATATTATTTCTTTTATAGCATTTAATAGCTGTGTACATTGTTATGTCATGTATATAGTACGAATTAGGCAATTTATGAACATGACTACACATTTTAGCATGATTGTTGTACAGTTGTAACATGACTAGGCATTTAATAAGCCATTACGTTATTAAAAAAAATATAAAGTACATAAGTAAAAAAATACAGAATTCAAAGAATCTATAAAAAATAGTACAAGTAATTGATGATATATATACCTGAGGCTTTCCATTCGTTCTTTAGTTGTTACGAGAATAACTATTAGAGTTTAGAGTGTAATATGAATTTAAATAACAAATAAATAAATAATTGCCACATCATCTTTATTTTCCTAGTTCCAAGATTAATTCATTTTTACAAACAAACATTGCATTTTACTTTCATGTTGACATGGATCCACTTTTACACTTGCAATAATAAATGACTTTCACGCGTTCGAGTCACCTTCGTTTAACCAAACACCCCCTCACGCTCAAAAACACCGCGTCGCGTATTCCGATCTTTAGGGGGTGTTTGTTTGCATGCAAGTGAAAGATGAAAGTGAGAAAGTTACTTTCATTTAACAATTAAGGTGTTTGTTTTCATGTAAGTGGTTATGAAAGTGAGATGTAAGAAAGTTGCCACATAAGATTTAATGCAACTTTGACTTCCCATAAAAAAGTGGTGAAGTCACATGAACGTGACAAAAATGTAAGTAATTTAATTAAATGATTTTAATTATATTTTCTAATTAATCTTATTTTGCCACGTCATCTTCACATTGCACTTTCGATAATAATTTAATTTTTCAAACAAACACTGTATTTTACTTGCGTGCTGACATGGATGTAAAAGTCATTTGTAAAAAAAATAACTTACATATTTTAAATTCACTTTCAGATTGTCAAACACCCTCGTGATCTCGTTGATCCCAACGTATTAATAGTAAACTAATTACAGTTTAATTTTCTAATCAGCTGAAATTTCCACGAACCCGTCATTATTATTGTTGCCATAAATACAAGACGACGAAGCCTCGTCAACATCTTCCTCTGTTTTCCTTCCACTACTCACTCTCTCCTCTCTCACCCTCTGCCCCATAAAAATATCTAATTTTATGGCGAAAATTTGAATTATTTATTCCATTTTGTTTCAATTTTAGGCAATGGATTGATCCTCATCAAGAAATTTCCTCGAAGGATGGAATCTGCTCCTCTCTCTTAAATTCAGTCATTGGTCAGCTCAGATCTCGGTTTATTGTTTTTTAGGGTTTCGGTCAAAGTCAAGAATTTAGGGGTTCCTAGATTCGGCAGCGAGTTCCACGCAAGAATCTGTTCTTTGCTCAAAGATCGGTGCTTTGCTCGATTCTTGAGGTTAACTCGCGTAACCCTAGCTTGTTGTTTTCTCAATTTCGATGAGATAAAGTTCGTTTCATGGGCAATACATGCCGTGGATCTGTAAGGAGCAAGAACTTTCAGTACTCCGAGCCCGCGGATCGCGCAGTCTCTAAGAGAAGCAACAATCACGCAGCAAACAATTCATCTTACGATTCTAATTCCGTTGATCGAGATCAGTTAGCTGAAGCCCAGCCCAAAGACAACCCCAATCCCAAGAGCCCACGCTCCGTCATGAGGCGGGGCGTCGATCCGGGGACCAATGCGGTCCTCGGCCACAAAACGCCTAGTATTCGGGACCTCTACACTCTCGGCCGCAAGCTTGGTCAAGGCCAGTTTGGTACTACTTACCTTTGTACTGAAAATTCTACTGGAATTGATTATGCTTGTAAGTCTATATCGAAAAGGAAGCTCCTGTCGAAGGAGGATGTTGAGGATGTGAGGAGAGAGATTCAAATTATGCACCATTTGTCGGGACATAAGAATGTGGTGACCATTAAAGGAGCCTATGAGGACTCTTTATATGTGCATATTGTGATGGAGCTTTGTGCAGGTGGAGAGCTTTTCGATAGGATTATACATAGAGGGCATTATAGTGAGCGGAAGGCAGCAGAGATCACAAAGATCATTGTTGGGGTTGTGGAGGCGTGCCATTCGCTTGGGGTGATGCACAGGGATCTCAAGCCGGAGAATTTCTTGCTGGTTGATAAGGACAATGATTTGTCGCTCAAGGCAATTGATTTCGGGCTCTCGGTGTTCTTCAAACCTGGTAAGGGACTGGAAAGATTGTTTTTTTTTAAAGATGGTGAATCATTTTTGGAAGTTAAGTGTTAGTGCACTATGAAATTGGCTATTTGAAATAATACTTGTAACATACTAACTTACAGATCATGAGAGATTATCTTGGAAGGTGATATCTGCCTTTTCCAATAATACTTAACACAATTAAGCACGATGGGTCTACTCTATCGTCAACTTATAATTATTAGGATTAATGTGCCAGAAGAGTCTAAATTTAAAGGCATTTTGATTGGATTTGGTCAGTGATATATTATGGTTATTCCAATTATGCAATTAAAGTGTTAAACTCGAAAGCTTTTCAAATCCATTATGCAATTAATGAATGTTTTATTTGATTATTATGGTTATTCCAATTATGCAGTTAAAGTGTTAAACTCGAAAGCTTTTCAAATCCATTTATTTTGGCTCGAGAGGAGCACTTTGTCTATATACCGCCTTTTATTCTAATTACCTGTCTATAGAGGCCACTAAGAAATTAGCATCTATCTTATCTTCTTCGATTTTGGTATTAAAGAGAGTTTTATTTGTTCTTCATTGTTTGTTATGGGTGGCTCGTATATTGATTTTGGATGTTTCTTTAATGATGCCGTAGATAATCTTTTGCATGTTCGCATGCTTGCTTTGTTACCCCACGGGTATTTGTGCTTGCATGTGCCTTTGCAGGTACATCTCCGTCAGTGTGTGAAAAAGTGTGTATTTGTATGGTGTACATTCGCATGCACATGCATGTGCAGGTGCACATGCGGGTCTGCGTGTATGTGTACGTAGTTGTATTTAGGTTCACCCAGTGTATGACACACAGCTTGTGCATGCTTGAAAATTATAGTATGACAATAATTTTTGTCAAACTTTCAATGCCATAGTTAAAACGAATGTAATCTTTCCAGCACCTAATATTTAATAGTTATTTGAGCCACTACACAAAGAGTAGGTTTTATTCTTACTGTTTCTGTGTTTAGTGATGAATAATATCTTTTGACGATGGGGGTTAGAAATGAATATAACCAAAATGATTAATAATTTTTGATGATAGAGCAGTAGTGGTTTCTATTCTTACTGTTTTTATTCTTTCTGCATTAAATATTTGTGATCAGATACTTCCAGTATTTTCATAGACTATGCTTCTCCTCATAGCTGCTTGGTTTTCATGCAACTTCAGGTCAAATCTTCACAGATGTAGTTGGGAGTCCTTATTATGTAGCACCTGAGGTTCTATGCAAGCGTTATGGACCAGAAGCTGATGTCTGGACAGCTGGTGTGATACTTTACATTCTGTTGAGTGGCGTACCACCTTTCTGGGCAGGTTCAGCCTTACTTCACTGCCCCCAATCCATGTTCTATTTAATTAAGCTTGTCTGGCTAATTATTGAATCTGTTTTTTTTAATCAGAATCACAACAAGGGATATTTGATGCTGTTTTGAAGGGAGTCATTGATTTTGATTCAGATCCTTGGCCTGTGATATCTGACAGTGCTAAAGATCTTATCAGAAAAATGCTTTGTTCTCGTCCTTCGGAGAGACTAACGGCTCATGAAGTACTATGTATGCTAATTTCTTCGATGTTGTGAATAAATCTATTGACATTGTATGAGATTGGAGTTCCTCTAATTTTTATTTTCAGTTAATAGCTGTATCTATGTTATAGGTCAGTTTATTCTGATTTAGGAAATTCTTAATTTTTATGATTTTATCCTTTGTTTTAATCTTTATTGGGCACCATGCCCTGTTAAACTATAAAACAAATTATTCTTTACATGTTGAACTGAATGCAAGTATGCACTCAACTTAGGCAGTATAAATTCAAAAACCTGAAAAAGATGCAAATATTCCAGTCAACCTATGTCGAAATGAAACGTAAATGGCTGTTCAGTTAGGAAAAAAAAAATCCCCTTAGGGAAGCTCAAAATGTGTGAAAGTAGCTGCTCAGTGTCTGAAAACCAGGATCTTTAGCGATTTTGTAAACCAGTTTCTTTAGTGATTTTGTATATAACCAGTGCACAAAAAAGAAAAAGAAAAAGAAAAAGAAAAAGAAGAACTATTGTCAAGTCAAGACCAAAGAAATGCAGTGTCGCCTGGTCATATTTCTCATATGATAATATATCTTTTGTAGTGAGACGGAACTGAAGGAAATATGGTCTTCCTTCTTTCCATAATTTCTGCTGGCTTTTAATTTTTGGTAACTGTTTCTTCAATTATGGTCTTACTGCCTTTTCCGGGCCTTTAGTTGGCAGGTTATGGAAAGGTGCTATTTGTGTTATATCATTATCAAACGCAACAAGGATAATGAAGGATACCTAATATAATGTGATTAAGGAAAATGATTCATGATAAAAAGTTGGCACTTCTAAGTTATTGAGTGAATGTGTTTTTCCCTTGTCAGCTCATCCCTGGATTTGTGAAAATGGAGTTGCTCCTGATCGTGCTTTGGATCCTGCTGTCCTCTCTCGCCTCAAGCAATTTTCAGCCATGAATAAGTTGAAGAAGATGGCTTTACGAGTAAGTGGATCTATTTTTCTGTGAGGAAAATTTAGCTAATCTTCAAGTGCCAATGGGGAACTTTGCTATTCCAAGATAGCTTGTTAATATTTAGCAAACTTTATTTTCTATATATCTCGTCTGATCAGTTATTTCCATTTTACTTCAGAAAAAATTCTGTTGGTTCACTATCTTACCGATGAAATGATCAAGCGTACATCCCCTCAAATAAGATATTGATATAGGTTGATGTAGTTGATGACCTTATATTTGTTGATTTCCTAAAATCTGGTATGTATTCTAATTATTCCTAAACAAGCAAGATTGACTCTTCTGTATCGATGGAATGTTCATTCTAGTGAACAAATTAGTTAATCTAGTCATGCATATTCATGAAATCCTACAAACAGCTCATAGTAGATTCATGACTTTTCTGGCAACAATGCTTGTTCAGTGTTGTAAGGCTAGTCTTTCATATTGGCCCTCATACTGCAGCACAAAGCTGATAGGTGAGTTACTTGAGTAGTTTTTAGTGTCTTGCATTTTAAGTTTTGTATATTATCTACAAAACTCAAAATGTCATGAGAAATGCAGGCTTACTGTTAAACTGTGTACATCACCATATCATGCACTTTTAAGATAAGATGAAAAGCGTGGGATTATATCTTCGCTTATATACTACTATACTATTGTTTTAACTAGTGACCATATTGGACAGAATAGTAGTGAAGGAGTAAGCTATTGTCTTCTGTCTAGCTCCAACTAAAAATATCAAAATCAAATAGGAAAAGGGTTGCTAGGGGGCGAGTTTCAGCACTGCATTGGAAATACATGGTAGTATGACTCTTCATTGTTGGATTGAGATCTAAAGTCTAGTTGGCTAGAATTTTGGGGGCAAAGTTGTCTTGGTCTATTACTACTACCCCACGGTTTCGGAAACTTCTATCTCTTGCGCACTTCTTTATTGTCTGGCATTAAGATTACCGTGTTGACTTTCTCTGTCCAACATTGGGTTTTCAGATTCCAACAGTATAGATGGGGAAAAAATCTGCATAAATTTTGTACAACGTAACATTTTTAAATTTGTACATGCTACTTTTTGACTTTCATGATTTGTTCTACTGCCTATGTAAGTATTGATAAAAAATATTCTCTAGAGATCTTCTGCGTTGCCTTTTAAATTCCTACACTGTACTTTTGATTTCTCATTATTTGTTTACATCCTATCAGGTAATAGCTGAAAGCCTTTCAGAGGAGGAGATTGCTGGATTAAGAGAGATGTTCACATCAATGGACACTGACAACAGTGGTGCAATCACATTTGATGAGCTGAAGGAAGGTCTGAGAAGATATGGTTCTACATTGAAGGATACAGAGATACGGGATCTTATGGATGCAGTAAGTTAACTCGAGTTAAATGAATACTAGATTTGTATTTCACATGCACAAACATGCATGCATATGCATCACACACACAGGCTCATACACACAAAAAAAGATGTGAAAAATTAATTAATAAGAAAATCAATGCTTATTAATTATTTCACCCTTTCGACATGTGGCGTGCACATGGTCAACGAGTTGCCATTTAATTTTAGCTAGTAAAGAAATATGGATGCTGTAGTAGAACTTGATTTAATTGCCTGTTATGAGAGGGCACCATATCATAGTTTATTATATTTTGTGCTGGACGCAAGTCCCTAACAGCTATCGAATATCAGAAAGCAGAAGAGACTAGAGAGAGGATGTGATGTTGTTGTGAGCACCAGACTTTAATCGCCAACACTATATTCCTCCTATTAAATCATTTTCATGTTTTTTGGTGGTTTTGGTTTCATATGAGTTTCTCCTATATATATTGTAAAGGCCATAAAGTTTAGCCTTCCTCCTGGTTGCTTACATCAGCCAAAAAGCATCACAAAGAACAGATAAAACACTCTGGGATGCTTCAAAAATTTATTCTGCTGTTCAGATCTTTCAACTCAGCATATAATTTAGACATCTGCTTGTCATGTAATTATGCACCCAATATTAGTCTTATTAAGCTTCTATTCATGCCCTTTAAGCCAGTTTCTACTGCATGCAGCTGCTTAGTGTGCCTAGAAACTATAAATGACGGGTGATCAAGGAATTGAAAAACCAAACCTCAGGACATGCACTCCTAGAGGTCTCCATTTAAGAACTCTGAAAGCCTGAAATAGTGAAAATAGTCTCTTAGAGAACAAATAAGGGCAATAACAACATTTTGTTCTCTTTAGTGAGAACTTTTCTTTGGAGAATATTCTCGCTGTTGATTATTCATTGCTATAAAATTTTCTGCATCCTATGATAACTGATCGCATGAAAATTTGCCTTAGGCTGATGTGGACAACAGTGGTACGATTGACTATGGGGAGTTTATTGCTGCGACAGTACATCTTAACAAATTGGAACGTGAAGAGCATTTGGCAGCAGCTTTTAAATATTTTGACAAGGATGGAAGTGGTTACATCACTGTTGATGAGCTTCAACAAGCTTGCAAAGAGCATAACATGGAAGATGTTCTTCTTGAGGATATCATCAAGGAAGTTGATCAAGATAATGTAAGTATGAACAAATTCTACCAGTTTTCACTTTAAACATATCTCTTCGGTTGCACTTTTGCAAACAGCTCATGCATACATTTCTGGATTTAGGGCATACATGCCTTGGAAATGCATGAGCAGGAAACTATCTACTGGATTTGTTCATTTATGTTTGAACAAATGCCATAGTCCATTCTTGAACCTAGGATCTCCCGATATCCAAACCCCCTCTTTACTAGTGAATCCAGCCTAACTAGCAAAACTATGTACCAATTTAGTAAGGCGAGATGGGAGTGAATAGTAATAATGTGGTACTTCCCATCACTTCTACGTGAGTACCTATTTTATGCATTATGTTGTATTTCATGATGCTACATTAAATTTCATGCTGATTAGTATTCGCAAGTGGATTCACCACAATTCATAATCGTTAACCAAGATTCAAGCAGTCAATTTCAGGGAGTAGATGTAGATCGTTGATTGATTTACTCCCAATATTGGTTCAACTATTCCTGTCATTCAGGAGAAACCATAAACACTAATCAAAATTCAAGATCACAGTGTTCATTTTACAAGGATAATCTTCTTTTAGAATTCTTCCAGGTCAGCAACAAATCCAAACTGGAAAAACTTAGGTTTTGCAAAGAAAATCATAAGCAAAGTACAATAATTTACTTATTTCTAGACCTTGGCCTTCATTTACTTGTGATTTGCATTCTCAATGTCCAGGATGGCCGAATTGATTATGGGGAATTTGTCGCTATGATGCAAAAGGGCAATATGGGCATCGGAAGGAGGACCATGAGAAACAGTGTGAATATAAGCATGAGGGATGCACCAGGAGCCCGAGTTTTATAAAATTCTTACTGCTGTACAGGTTGTTTAAGATAATTTATCAGCTTTCCCTCTTACCATTCTCTCCCATTTTGTATTATGGTATAGAGAGAGAATTTCATTGTATAATTTATTTTTGTCAGATATTGGCATTGTTGTACTCCTACTGCCGCGCTAATGAAGGAAGTTTCTTGTATGCATTGCAAATATGGAGGAAAGTATCATGCGCATAGGGCCCTCTACTTTAAGAGTGCCCCTCTGTTTTCACTTTGCTTGCACCAGTTGAGCCCCATCCGCAGTGCATTCAAGAGTATCAAATTGATGCGTGAGCAGTCCCATGCTGAAGAATTCTTTATAACCAAGGTGTTTTTTTTTTCATATTTGTCCCTTACATCTTTAGTATTTTGAAAATTAGCTCTTCAAATCACTGAATTGCTATTATGCCCCTCAATTTTGATAAATTGTTTCAAATTAATTCCTCCTAATCAAGCGTAGTGTTAGGAAGACATAAGAATTGGGTGACTAGATAGCAAAGTTTCAATGATTTCCATGACATTATTGATCCAAGGGTACCCCTGTAGTTAAGTATAGAACGGTCACAACCATGTCAAGTGAAGACGGCAGACCATCTGAGAGGATTTGTACTCTACAAATATGATACCCCCAAAATCAACAATACTCTCTCATGTCAAGTGTAAAATCTTCTTAATTTCTTGCGATATGCTTTTTAATGTTATATTCCGTTAAGGATACAATTGCTACGTGTGAGTTAATCCACTTTTCCCATGAAAGTATAGACTCAGTTAACTCCAAAAACAAAACATTCTCATATAAATACATTGTGACTTTATAAAACTTGAGTACTTCTGCTTCCCTGAGCATCATGTTGTCCATTTTTGGGTCCTGCTAGCACTACTGAAGCTAATATATTAAAGGCTAAATTGTCGAAAAATACCGCAAAGTTTCTCGTTTTTGACAATTAAATAGCACAAGTTCCATTTTGGTATAAAAAATTCCATAAAATTTTCAAAATTTGCACGTTGCTATCATCAATCATTGAAAATCATAATACTAACGTCTCAGTCAATTTGACGACGATTATGAAGTTACTGGAGGATTCGTATTTTTATGCCATAAATTGTTATATCATATCATGTGTGACTAATCTTATACATCTATTATACCTACGCATGAATGCATTAATTCAATGGTTATGGATTCATCTATATATTTCACGAAGACGTGAAACCAATGTGGCTGATAGAGTAGTTGGAAGATATTGAAAAGGTGAGCATACACAGAGCTTACAACACAGAACCGTGTCCTCTTATTTGCCCTCAGTGATAACATAAACATGCACTATTTTTTAAATAGAAAATTCGTAATATGAGCACAGCACACGTTGTTAACTACAATTAGATTTAAACCACTTAATAAGAGGAGTTAGAAAATACTAACTTTTAGAAGATGGAAAATCAGACAGTACCCATTTAGAAGAATTTAGAGGCTCTCACTTTCATCTTGTACCAATATACAACTCCCACAAGCATTGTGAACCTGATAGGGACGGTTAATATACTTTTGAGACTTGCAATCTAGAGCAGATTAATATGAATACGGTCACAAATTAGGCATCATCTTGATGCCCTCTCTAAATTACCACGGTGTAAAAATGTATATAAAAAACTTTAAAGAAGTTCCTGCGCCACTCGACTCTGCAGATCATTAGTTCGATGCGGTTTCTTCCCCGATTGACATATCCTGCAATTGGGATCATTGATGCAAAATCAGCGCTCTCCAGCAATTTTTAAGATCAAATTACCAGAAGAACCGAGTACTACGAGAGTTTACAAAAACGGGTGAACATAAAAAAGAAAAAGTTTACCTTCAACGTCCCGTCTTTAAGCAGAACACATCTGGATGTCATAGCAGAACCTCGATCTAGCAACCAACCAACCTCTGCCCAAATTTCACCACCCTCCTATTGGCTCTGTTAGCGAACACACAGGATCTTTCGGATCAGAGCAATTGATTCCCTCTAACCTCTCTAACTATCTTTTGTATCTTTTCCTCTCTAAGTTCGTAGAATACTTCATCCTGGCAAAAATTTTTAGGGATGACCTTAAAATATGATAGTTTTTTTTAGTCTAGCTGCCCGAAAACAGGGCATCGCAAAAATAGTTAAAGGAGAGGAAAATATATACTTTATCTATAACTAATCAAATTCATCGAAGAACTATGAGCTGATCGAACCAACTACTCAAATCCATACATGATTGACACCGTTCTTCTTATTTTGAATATCATTGAGTTTTCAACTAGATAAATTTAGATCGTTTACCAAGTTCTAAGACAAAGATCAAGCTAGTTTAACATGTTAGCAAGCAAGTGATGTTGTTACATGTGTGTGTGTGTGTGGGGGGATCCTATGACTTACACATGATATCCAAGATATCAAATTCTGAATTGAGTTACTCATTTGACAAGCTCATGGCATACATATAAGCATGAGCTTGTGTGTAGCTATAGTCTCTTGGCTGGTATAATACTAGCATGTTCCGTATTCAGTTAACTACAACTCTCATCTTCGAAATATCCAAATCATCAAAGAGGTCCTAGAAAATGCGAGAATCATGCAGGCCAAAAGGTACGAAAGATGCATACATGCGCGCACAAAGACACACAAGCAGTCAAGCACGCACGCGCACATACATGCATGCACAAGCAGATATGCACGCGGATGAGGGACGCGCCCACGTGTTGCGCACATGCACATGCATAGACACGCCAGCACGCGCGCGCATATGTGTTCATACATACAGACGTACAAATGCCAACATATAGACACACGCAGGCATGCGTGTATGCAAGCGCACAAGCCCGCATACATACATTTTCCAGCCCATTGCATTGATGCACCCAAAGTAGGTCTGCTCTTATATCAGTGGAATTAAGGTTCAATGCAACAAACTAAGAGCGAACATACTTTTTATTTTTTTTGTTTTTTTTGATTTGCCATTACAAAGATACTTTCCTCAACTCGAAACCTTTTGAGGGTTTTTAAGTACTCACCTCTGCATCACTCCCAAATATAGCAATCCCCAATCTCCTCCCCTCCCAAACCCCTACAACATCCCCGAGCTCCACCCTCTCGCTCAAAGCAAACCCACTCTCTCTAATAGCACACCCTCCCATACTCTCCCCGTTCCTCCACGGCCCATCCCAATACTCCGAGA